TTTTAAGTTCATGAACTATATCTGAATGTAAGAATGTATGCTATAACTACTCTTGCTTTCATATAGCAGGTTAATTTTTTTCTTTCTTTGATGATTTTAAAGAAAAATTTTTGGCCGAGTTGATGGCAATTCTGAAAATTTACAAACTTATTTTTTAAAACCAATTCAAGACGCTGAACATTTCGTTCCAAAAATGGAAGCTTATGAAATGTATTATACGGTTATACAACAAATGCCGGTAAGAGTTCGGGAAGCACTCGCGACAGTAGATTTTTCGAATTTTGATAAAATTTCGCAACCTTTGTGTCAACTTGATTTAAAATTTGTTGAAAAAATAAATAATAGTAAGAAAAAAAAATTTAGAAGGGTCGACTGCGAACCACCAGAATAATTCTCATTATCAGAATAAAAATAAAAGTCAACAACGATCTGTTAAACCTATTAATGTGATGAGTGCGAACATTCACACAGGGTATCAAGGCCAAAGTTTGGGCTCGCGTAGAGAGTACATGTGCACTCAGACTTATCAAATGCCGCTGCCCGATATGAGTGTTCCCCCACCGGTTATTCTTCAAATTCTTTTCGTAGGAACTATGCAGGCCATGATCTAGACCAAAACAAAAGAACGTTACGTATTCCTTTATGTCCTCGTGTTATTGTGAGTTTCTTTTCAGTGCCAATGCCTCCGTTAATTGACACTGGAAGTCAAATAACTGCAATATCAAATGAATTCTATAATTATTTGCTAAAGCATAGTACTTTCCAAGAATTACCTGTTACAAATCTTATACTTATGACTGCTATAGGAAAAAAGCCTACGAATATAAAAAAACAAATTTTTTATGAAGTACAAATTGGAACTTATAAATATCAATCGTGTTTTCTAGTTGTCCCTCGATTGTCGAATGCGGTTATATTAGGCAATGACTGGCTATTGCAGAATAATGTGGATATTGATTACGGGGAAGCTTCTTTAAGAGTAAGTATTCGAAAGTATTCCGCCGAAATACATAGCGTTCAATAACATGCCAGACGAGAGAATATTGATTTCGGGACAAGATAATGATTATAAATATTTGCAGATCATTGATCTTCGCGATGATGTAAATTTTGTTAAAAATGATAAGAATCATGGGATTGTATTTTCGAAGAATTCGGTTGAATTTGGGAATTGCTAAGATAGATAATAAAATATCATATGTCGAAAATGAAACGCGTGAACATAATGTTTTTTTTTATCTGAAATTGCTAATTCGGAATTGCCTGATGTTCGAAATGATTGTTTTTTAGATCAAAATCTTGAAAATAAACAAAATTGTTTTATTGTTGATGATCATGATTCTCAATCATTAAAAAATTATAATGATAATGAACGGAGTGATTTTTTAAAAGGCAAAGTTTTTGATAATGAATTTTCGGATTTTGAGACTGACACAATATTCATTGAAAATTGTTCAAGGACGGAAGTTGTGATAGGCAATATTACATCGGAAATAGATCTTATCGAAGAAGAAAAAGAACCATATAATGTTGTGAATGCTTTGGATTTTATTTCGGATTCATGTCATAAAAAGTGTTCGGGGGATAATGAATTTCTTGATGGATTGAGATCAATTCTTTCTGAGATTGGGGGACTGAATGAGCAAGAAAAAGAATTTTTTATTAATAAAATGGCAAAATTTCAACAATTATTTACCCCTAAATCTTCCAGTGCTGACACCGAGCCTTATCAATTTCATGTTAAACCACATCAAACTATTATTCAGAAAACCTGCCCTGTCCCTTTTAAATATCGAGATAGATAAAATGAAAATACAGTGATTATTTTGCGAAAATTGTTTGATCATTATATTCCTGAGATGGGTAAGCCATCGAGAATCATTGCTGATCACGGAACTCAATTTACTTCACCTAAATGGGGTAAAAAATTGATCGAATCCGGAATCACTGTTGTTTATTCGTCGATAAGGCATCCTAAGAGTAACCCTGTAGAGAGGGTAATGCGTGAACTTGGTCGGATGTTCAGAACCTTATGTTCTGATAAGTACACACGCTGGGCTCGACACATTGGGGAAATTGAATTTTTTTTAAATGCCTCAACTCATTCGAGTACGGGTTTTAGTCCCATGGAATTGCATTTTGGGGTCAAGCCAGCCAGTGAGATTCGAAAAATTATTAATTTTCCCGAATTAGTAGAATTATCACAAGAGGCCCGAATCATGATGGCTCGTGAAAAAATTAATGCTAGTTTTAAAAAACGCGAGAAGGCTCAGAAAACGTCGTCCAGGATTCAGTTGAAAGAAGGTGATTTGGTATTACTGCGAGTCCCCAAAAAATTTGATGCGATCCAAAAAGTGACCAGAAATTTTTCCATTTGTTTTATGGTCCATATCGTGTTTTAAAGGATCTGGGGAATAATTCATTTCGATTGGGTGATTTGGATGATGTGCCTAAAAATATTGGAATTTATAATCGCGCAAATCTTAAAAAATATCATCAAAGTGAATAGTTGATTAGCAAACGAAAAATGAGTTTGACATTTGAGCTTGAGTATGTTCGACTGTGACAATTTGGGTTTCTAAAATCCCATATATTCTTAAATTTATGACAAATTTAATTTAATTATATATATTTGTATTATATGTATATTTGTACGACGAATTATTATTCGGAATTTAATTCCCCTTCTGATTGTAGTGTTTTTTTTTGTTTGATCTTAAAGTTCAAATTTTTTTACTTGAGATAGTTGCAAGATCTGCGAAAATTTATGTATTTATTGAGCATGCCATTGCGGGAAACGATAGGCCTTCGATTTTTGTCGCAATGGTAAATTGTTGTTAACGAGATGTTTAAGTAAATTTTTTTAAATTGGCGGTATCTTGTCTAATTGATCAGGTTATAAAATAAAGTATACATATGTGTTTGATGTATAAGATGAAACATTGTAAAGAGAAAGTGTACTCCGAAGTATAAAGTGAGAAATGTATGTCGGTGTTTGTATTTTTGTATACATTGTCATTTTTTTACATATACACCAAAGTAGGGGGGGAATGAAGCGATTTAGTCATTCTCATTTCACTGTTAAAATAGAGAGAGAGAGAAAATTCATAGAGAGAGATCGAGAGAGATACGTATGAGGAGATAGCGAGAGCGATATCCCGCCAAATTCTGGGAAATCGGAAAGCTTCGGCGAAAACGATTCATGGCGAAGGAATTATACGCGCCAAATGAGTTTTCTGGAAGTAGGGAAGCAGGGATTTCGTCGTATTATAAAACTTCTCGTCCTAAGTAATTCCGTGTCGTTTTCGTAGTTGTCGCAATTGTTATGTGACTTGTCGTCACAGTGTGGGCGCGTCGCCGACGACCCTATAGGTAAATTCAGTTTGTGAAAATACAAAACGAATAAGAAAATTTGCAATATTTTTCCGGATATCAATTTATATTTGTTTATAGTGTGGCGATTTAATTTAGACGCAAGTCTACTGTCTGATACGACTGGTTTTATTTCCACGTGGACTCCACCATATTGGTCACCATCGAATCCAAAGGGAACTATGTTTTATTCAATCACGAGCTCGAGTATTTCATCATTTTGATGTTCCACACGGATTCAGGAGCATATCTAAATAAATTTCAGACATTGCGACAATAAAAACGATAAGTTCCAATTCTATTTGTTATATACAAAAATCTCCGGTCTCTCTCTCTCTCTCGATCATATTAAACATTTTAATTACTTTTCTTTTTGGTTATAAATATAAATTTTTATACAGTATGTGTGTGAGATGAGCTCATCATAATCAAGAATATTGAATGATAATTGTTAATAATAAATATTTTGATTCTTCTTAATTGACGATTTATTATTTAAAGAAGTTATTTACTTTTATTATATTTTATTTACCTAATTTAAAATCTTCATAATTGGTTTAATAATATAAATTATTTTAAAATTTGTAAAGTGTCTTTATATTTAATATAAATGTAACGTTGGAATAGTCAACCGTTACATAACGAATCTCATAAATGATTTACTGGCTGATGAATATGTCCAATTTCGTCAGAGTGAACGACAAAGACAAGAAATATCCCAAGATTTTGAAAGAATAATCGGGTTTCCTGGAATCATAGGATCCATCGATTGCACATTCCTGTCAATATTAAAGCCAAGAGAAGAGGAACACAATTACATGAATCGACATCAAAAACACGCAAAAAATGTCCAATTAGAAAGATTTTTATAAACGTGACTGTCCATGAGAAAAGGGACCTTAGCTCAGAAACATGAATTTCACAGGGCAAGTGTTTGCCATACACTTCTTCGAAATGTTGTTGTGTCAAAAGTAATTAACCTAATCAGGTTTTGACTTTTACATGTGAAGGAGCAATTCAATATCTATCAATTACTATAATCAATTTCTATAACTCAATTTTGAATTTTGGTGAGCTAAGGTCCCTTCTCTCGTGGACAGTCACATATTCTAATATATTCACTAGTATTATTAGCTCTCTTTATACCAGATTAATGGAACTATCAAATAATTACATCCATTTATTGAAAAACTGATCGATTACTGGTGAACATTGTGATCGAGTGTTGGTTCACATGTAATTTCAATGGCTGATCGATTACTAGGTCAATACCGCTTATCTCTTAAAACTTTTTTTCAAAAATATACAATTTAAATTAAATTGGAAAACAAATTACGAATTTCAAGGTCAAAATGTCCTCTGCAAAACGAAAAATCAATTTTTTTAGGTATATAATATCCTATACATATATATATAAATATATATACACACTCTATAATATAATATCACCTTCACTTTAAAGAAAATATTACTTGCTGCTTGAGAAGTTTCATCTCATAATAATAATTTATAGTAAAAATAAGGAAGTGAAATAATAAAACATTATACTTACTTGAGACGAGTTTTATATATATTTTGAAATTACAAAGTAAAAACTAACTAAAAATTAAAAAAACAACAATAAAAAATAATAATAAAAAATTGAAAAAATCAAAAAATTCTTAAAAAATTGCATAATAACCCTTTCTCGGGTTAAAATTGAAAAATAACCCTTTTTCGGGTTAAAATTGAAAAAAGATGTTACATAAAATAGTTTGTAAGATTTTCTAACAGCATATATGCAAAGTATTTTGATTTATTTGAAAATAATTGAAAACAGATTTTCAAGGACGGTGTCGAGGTCACGGGGTCGGTGTCGTTTTTCGAAATTTGTTAACTTAATATAATAGAAGATGTTTCGTTTTAAATTAAGAAATGTTAAAATTATTAAGTTAAAAACATATGATTTTAATGACACTTAAAATTAAACACAATATTATAGGTTACTAACTAAAAATTGAAAAAAAAAACAATAAATAATAAAAAATAATTATAAAAAATTGAAAAAATCATAAAATTCTTAAAAAATTGCAAAATAACCCTTTTTCGGGTTAAAATTGAAAAAAGATGTTACATAAAAATAGTTTGTAAGATTTTCTAACAGCATATAAGGAAAGTATTTTGATTTATTTGAAAATAATTGAAAACAGATTTTTCAAGGACGGTGTCGAGGTCACGGGGTCGGTGTTGTTTTTCGAAATTTGTTAACTTAATATAAAAGAAGATGTTTCGTTTTAAATTAAGAAATGTTAAAATTATTAAGTTAAAAACATTTGATTTTAATGACACTTAAAATTAAACACAATATTATAGGTTACTAACTAAAAATTGAAAAAACAGCAATAAATAATAAAAAATAATTATAAAAAATTGAAAAAATCATAAAATTCTTAAAAAATTGCAAAATAACCCTTTCTCGAGTTAAAATTGCAAAATAACACTTTTTCGGGTTAAAATTAAAAAAAGATGTTACATAAAAATAGTTTGTAAGATTTTCTAACAGCATATATGCAAAGTATTTTGATTTATTTGAAAATAATTGAAAAACAGATTTTTCAAGAACGGTGTCGAGGTCACGGGGTCGGTGTCGTTTTTCGAAATTTGTTAACTTAATATAATAGAAGATGTTTCGTTTTACATTAAGAAATATTAAAATTATTAAGTTAAAAACATTTGATTTTAAGGATACTTAAAATTAAACACAATATTATAGGTTACTAACTAAAAATTGAAAAAACAACAATAAATAATAAAAAATAATTATAAAAAATTGAAAAAATCATAAAATTCTTAAAAAATTGCAAAATAACCCTTTTTCGGATTAAAATTGAAAAAAGATGTTACATAAAAATAGTTTGTAAGATTTTCTAACAGCATATAAGGAAAGTATTTTGATTTATTTGAAAATAATTGAAAACAGATTTTTCAAGGACGGTGTCGAGGTCACGGGGTCGGCGTTGTTTTTCGAAATTTGTTAACTTAATATAAAAGAAGATGTTTCGTTTTAAATTAAGAAATGTTAAAATTATTAAGTTAAAAACATTTGATTTTAATGACACTTAAAATTAAACACAATATTATAGGTTACTAACTAAAAATTGAAAAAAAAAACAATAAATAATAAAAAATAATTATAAAAAATTGAAAAAATCATAAAATTCTTAAAAAATTGCAAAATAACCCTTTTTCGGGTTAAAATTGAAAAAAGATGTTACATAAAAATAGTTTGTAAGATTTTCTAACAGCATATAAGGAAAGTATTTTGATTTATTTGAAAATAATTGAAAACAGATTTTTCAAGGACGGTGTCGAGGTCACGGGGTCGGTGTTGTTTTTCGAAATTTGTTAACTTAATATAAAAGAAGATGTTTCGTTTTAAATTAAGAAATGTTAAAATTATTAAGTTAAAAACATTTGATTTTAATGACACTTAAAATTAAACACAATATTATAGGTTACTAACTAAAAATTGAAAAAACAGCAATAAATAATAAAAAATAATTATAAAAAATTGAAAAAATCATAAAATTCTTAAAAAATTGCAAAATAACCCTTTCTCGAGTTAAAATTGCAAAATAACACTTTTTCGGGTTAAAATTAAAAAAAGATGTTACATAAAAATAGTTTGTAAGATTTTCTAACAGCATATATGCAAAGTATTTTGATTTATTTGAAAATAATTGAAAAACAGATTTTTCAAGAACGGTGTCGAGGTCACGGGGTCGGTGTCGTTTTTCGAAATTTGTTAACTTAATATAATAGAAGATGTTTCGTTTTACATTAAGAAATATTAAAATTATTAAGTTAAAAACATTTGATTTTAAGGATACTTAAAATTAAACACAATATTATAGGTTACTAACTAAAAATTGAAAAAACAAAAATTAATAAAAAATAATTATAAAAAATTGAAAAAATCATAAAATTCTTAAAAAATTGCAAAATAACCCTTTTTAGGGTTAAAATTGAAAAAAGATGTTACATGAAAATAGTTTGTAAGATTTTCTAACAGCATATATGCAAAGTATTTTGATTTATTTAAAAATAATTGAAAATAGATTTTTCAAGGACGGTGTCGAGGTCACGGGGTCGTTTTTCGAAATTTGTTAACTTAATATAATAGAAGATGTTTCGTTTTAAATTAAGAAATATTAAAATTATTAAGTTAAAAACATTTGATTTTAAGGACACTTAAAATTAAACACAATATTATAGGATACTAACTAAAAATTGAAAAAACAGCAATAAATAATAAAAAATAATTATAAAAAATTGAAAAAATCAAAAAATTCTTAAAAAATTGCAAAATAACCCTTTCTCGAGTTAAAATTGCAAAATAACACTTTTTCGGGTTAAAATTGAAAAAAGATGTTACATAAAAATAGTTTGTAAGATTTTCTAACAGCATATATGCAAAGTATTTTGATTTATTTGAAAATAATTGAAAAACAGATTTTTCAAGAACGGTGTCGAGGTCACGGGGTCGGTGTCGTTTTTCGAAATTTGTTAACTTAATATAATAGAAGATGTTTCGTTTTACATTAAGAAATATTAAAATTATTAAGTTAAAAACATTTGATTTTAAGGATACTTAAAATTAAACACAATATTATAGGTTACTAACTAAAAATTGAAAAAACAACAATAAATAATAAAAAATAATTATAAAAAATTGAAAAAATCATAAAATTCTTAAAAAATTGCAAAATAACCCTTTTTCGGATTAAAATTGAAAAAAGATGTTACATAAAAATAGTTTGTAAGATTTTCTAACAGCATATAAGCAAAGTATTTTGATTTATTTGAAAATAATTGAAAACAGATTTTTCAAGGACGGTCTCGAGGTCACGGGGTCGGTGTCGTTATTCGAAATTTGTTAACTTAATATAATAGAAGATGTTTCGTTTTAAATTAAGAAATGTTAAAATTATTAAGTTAAAAACATTTGATTTTAATGACACTTAAAATTAAACACAATATTATAGGTTACTAACTAAAAATTGAAAAAACAACAATAAATAATAAAAAATCATTATAAAAAATTGAACAAATCAAAAAATTCTTAAAAAATTGCAAAATAACGCTTTTTCGGGTTAAAATTGAAAAAAGATGTTACATAAAAATAGTTTGTAAGATTTTCTAACAGCATATAAGCAAAGTATTTTGATTTATTTGAAAATAATTGAAAACAGATTTTTCAAGGACGGTGTCGAGGTCACGGGGTCGGTGTCGTTTTTCGAAATTTGTTAACTTAATATAATAGAAGATGTTTCGTTTGAAATTAAGAAATATTAAAATTATTAAGTTAAAAACATTTGATTTTAAGGACACTTAAAATTAAACACAATATTATAGGATACTAACTAAAAATTGAAAAAACAACAATAAATAATAAAAAATAATTATAAAAAATTGAAAAAATCAAAAAATTCTTAAAAAATTGCAAAATAACCCTTTCTCGAGTTAAAATTGCAAAATAACACTTTTTCGGGTTAAAATTGAAAAAAGATGTTACATAAAAATAGTTTGTAAGATTTTCTAACAGCATATATGCAAAGTATTTTGATTTATTTGAAAATAATTGAAAACAGATTTTTCAAGGACGGTGTCGAGGTCACGGGGTCGGTGTCGTTTTTCGAAATTTGTTAACTTAATATAATAGAAGATGTTTCGTTGTAAATTAAGAAATGTTAAAATTATTAAGTTAAAAACATTTGATTTTAAGGACACTTAAAATTAAACACAATATTATAGGATACTAACTAAAAATTGAAAAAACAACAATAAATAATAAAAAATAATTATAAAAAATTGAAAAAATCAAAAAATTCTTAAAAAATTGCAAAATAACCCTTTCTCGAGTTAAAATTGCAAAATAACACTTTTTCGGGTTAAAATTGAAAAAAGATGTTACATAAAAATAGTTTGTAAGATTTTCTAACAGCATATAAGCAAAGTATTTTGATTTATTTGAAAATAATTGAAAACAGATTTTTCAAGGACGGTGTCGAGGTCACGGGGTCGGTGTCGTTTTTCGAAATTTGTTAACTTAATATAATAGAAGATGTTTCGTTTTAAATTAAGAAATGTTAAAATTATTAAGTTAAAAACATTTGATTTTAATGACACTTAAAATTAAACACAATATTATAGGTTACTAACTAAAAATTGAAAAAACAACAATAAATAATAAAAAATAATTATAAAAAATTGCAAAAATCAAAAAATTCTTAAAAAATTGCAAACTAACCCTATCTCGAGTTAAAATTGCAAAATAACACTTTTTCGGGTTAAAATTGAAAAAAGATGTTACATAAAAATAGTTTGTAAGATTTTCTAACAGCATATATGCAAAGTATTTTGATTTATTTGAAAATAATTGAAAACAGATTTTTCAAGGACGGTGTCGAGGTCACGGGGTCGGTGTCGTTTTTCGAAATTTGTTAACTTAATATAATAGAAGATGTTTCGTTTTAAATTAAGAAATGTTAAAATTATTAAGTTAAAAACATTTGATTTTAATGACACTTAAAATTAAACACAATATTATAGGTTACTAACTAAAAATTGAAAAAACAACAATAAATAATAAAAAATAATTATAAAAAATTGAAAAAATCATAAAATTCTTAAAAAATTGCAAAATTACCCTTTTTCAGGTTAAAATTGAAAAAAGATGTTACATGAAAATAGTTTGTAAGATTTTCTAACAGCATATATGCAAAGTATTTTGATTTATTTAAAAATAATTGAAAACAGATTTTTCAAGGACGGTGTCGAGGTCACGGGGTCGGTGTCGTTTTTCGAAATTTGTTAACTTAATATAATAGAAGATGTTTCGTTTTAAATTAAGAAATGTTAAAATTATTAAGTTAAAAACATTTGATTTTAATGACACTTAAAATTAAACACAATATTATAGGTTACTAACTAAAAATTGAAAAAACAACAATAAATAATAAAAAATTATTATAAAAAATTGCAAAAATCAAAAAATTCTTAAAAAATTGCAAACTAACCCTTTCTCGAGTTAAAATTGCAAAATAACACTTTTTCGGGTTAAAATTGAAAAAAGATGTTACATAAAAATAGTTTGTAAGATTTTCTAACAGCATATATGCAAAGTATTTTGATTTATTTGAAAATAATTGAAAACAGATTTTTAAAGGACGGTGTCGAGGTCACGGGGTCGGTGTCGTTTTTCGAAATTTGTTAACTTAATATAATAGAAGATGTTTCGTTTTAAATTAAGAAATGTTAAAATTATTAAGTTAAAAACATTTGATTTTAATGACACTTAAAATTAAACACAATATTATAGGTTACTAACTAAAAATTGAAAAAACAACAATAAATAATAAAAAATAATTATAAAAAATTGAAAAAATCAAAAAATTCTTAAAAAATTGCAAAATAACCCTTTCTCGAGTTAAAATTGCAAAATAACACTTTTTCGGGTTAAAATTGAAAAAAGATGTTACATAAAAATAGTTTGTAAGATTTTCTAACAGCATATATGCAAAGTATTTTGATTTATTTGAAAATAATTGAAAACAGATTTTTCAAGGACGGTGTCGAGGTCACGGGGTCGGTGTCGTTTTTCGAAATTTGTTAACTTAATATAATAGAAGATGTTTCGTTTTAAATTAAGAAATGTTAAAATTATTAAGTTAAAAACATTTGATTTTAATGACACTTAAAATTAAACACAATATTATAGGTTACTAACTAAAAATTGAAAAAACAACAATAAATAATAAAAAATAATTATAAAAAATTGAAAAAATCAAAAAATTCTTAAAAAATTGCAAAATAACCCTTTTTCGGGTTAAAATTGAAAAATAACTCTTTTTCGGGTTAAAATTGAAAAAAGATGTTACATAAAAATAGTTTGTAAGATTTTCTAACAGCATATAAGCAAAGTATTTTGATTTATTTGAAAATAATTGAAAACAGATTTTTCAAGGACGGTGTCGAGGTCACGGGGTCGGTGTCGTTTTTCGAAATTTGTTAACTTAATATAATAGAAGATGTTTCGTTTTAAATTAAGAAATGTTAAAATTATTAAGTTAAAAACATTTGATTTTAATGACACTTAAAATTAAACACAATATTATAGGTTACTAACTAAAAATTGAAAAAACAACAATAAATAATAAAAAATAATTATAAAAAATTGAAAAAATCAAAAAATTCTTAAAAAATTGCAAAATAACCCTTTTTAGGGTTAAAATTGAAAAAAGATGTTACATGAAAATAGTTTGTAAGATTTTCTAACAGCATATATGCAAAGTATTTTGATTTATTTGAAAATAATTGAAAACAGATTTTTCAAGGACGGTGTCGAGGTCACGGGGTCGGTGTCGTTTTTCGAAATTTGTTAACTTAATATAATAGAAGATGTTTCGTTTTAAATTAAGAAATGTTAAAATTATTAAGTTAAAAACATTTGATTTTAATGACACTTAAAATTAAACATAATATTATAGGTTACTAACTAAAAATTGAAAAAACAACAATAAATAATAAAAAATAATTATAAAAAATTGAAAAAATCAAAAAATTCTTAAAAAATTGCAAAATAACCCTTTTTCGAGTTAAAATTGCAAAATAACACTTTTTCGGGTTAAAATTGAAAAAAGATGTTACATAAAAATAGTTTGTAAGATTTTCTAACAGCATATATGCAAAGTATTTTGATTTATTTGAAAATAATTGAAAAACAGATTTTTCAAGGACGGTGTCGAGGTCACGGGGTCGGTGTCGTTTTTCGAAATTTGTTAACTTAATATAATAGAAGATGTTTCGTTTTAAATTAAGAAATGTTAAAATTATTAAGTTAAAAACATTTGATTTTAATGACACTTAAAATTAAACACAATATTATAGGTTACTAACTAAAAATTGAAAAAACAACAATAAATAATAAAAAATAATTATAAAAAATTGAAAAAATCAAAAAATTCTTAAAAAATTGCAAAATAACCCTTTTTCGGGTTAAAATTGAAAAATAACTCTTTTTCGGGTTAAAATTGAAAAAAGATGTTACATAAAAATAGTTTGTAAGATTTTCTAACAGCATATAAGCAAAGTATTTTGATTTATTTGAAAATAATTGAAAACAGATTTTTCAAGGACGGTGTCGAGGTCACGGGGTCGGTGTCGTTTTTCGAAATTTGTTAACTTAATATAATAGAAGATGTTTCGTTTTAAATTAAGAAATGTTAAAATTATTAAGTTAAAAACATTTGATTTTAATGACACTTAAAATTAAACACAATATTATAGGTTACTAACTAAAAATTGAAAAAACAACAATAAATAATAAAAAATAATTATAAAAAATTGAAAAAATCAAAAAATTCTTAAAAAATTGCAAAATAACCCTTTTTAGGGTTAAAATTGAAAAAAGATGTTACATGAAAATAGTTTGTAAGATTTTCTAACAGCATATATGCAAAGTATTTTGATTTATTTAAAAATAATTGAAAATAGATTTTTCAAGGACGGTGTCGAGGTCACGGGGTCGGTGTCGTTTTTCGAAATTTGTTAACTTAATATAATAGAAGATGTTTCGTTTTAAATTAAGAAATGTTAAAATTATTAAGTTAAAAACATTTGATTTTAATGACACTTAAAATTAAACACAATATTATAGGTTACTAACTAAAAATTGAAAAAACAACAATAAATAATAAAAAATAATTATAAAAAATTGAAAAAATCAAAAAATTCTTAAAAAATTGCAAAATAACCCTTTTTCGGGTTAAAATTGAAAAATAACTCTTTTTCGGGTTAAAATTGAAAAAAGATGTTACATAAAAATAGTTTGTAAGATTTTCTAACAGCATATAAGCAAAGTATTTTGATTTATTTGAAAATAATTGAAAACAGATTTTTCAAGGACGGTGTCGAGGTCACGGGGTCGGTGTCGTTTTTCGAAATTTGTTAACTTAATATAATAGAAGATGTTTCGTTTTAAATTAAGAAATGTTAAAATTATTAAGTTAAAAACATTTGATTTTAATGACACTTAAAATTAAACACAATATTATAGGTTACTAACTAAAAATTGAAAAAACAACAATAAATAATAAAAAATAATTATAAAAAATTGAAAAAATCAAAAAATTCTTAAAAAATTGCAAAATAACCCTTTTTCGGGTTAAAATTGAAAAAAGATGTTACATAAAAATAGTTTGTAAGATTTTCTAACAGCATATATGCAAAGTATTTTGATTTATTTGAAAATAATTGAAAATAGATTTTTCAAGGACGGTGTCGAGGTCACGGGGTCGGTGTCGTTTTCGAAATTTGTTAACTTAATATAATAGAAGATGTTTCGTTTTAAATTAAGAAATGTTAAAATTATTAAGTTAAAAACATTTGATTTTAATGACACTTAAAATTAAACACAATATTATAGGTTACTAACTAAAAATTGAAAAAACAACAATAAATAATAAAAAATAATTATAAAAAATTGAAAAAATCAAAAAATTCTTAAAAAATTGCAAAATAACCCTTTTTCGGGTTAAAATTGAAAAATAACTCTTTTTCGGGTTAAAATTGAAAAAAGATGTTACATAAAAATAGTTTGTAAGATTTTCTAACAGCATATAAGCAAAGTATTTTGATTTATTTGAAAATAATTGAAAACAGATTTTTCAAGGACGGTGTCGAGGTCACGGGGTCGGTGTCGTTTTTCGAAATTTGTTAACTTAATATAATAGAAGATGTTTCGTTTTAAATTAAGAAATGTTAAAATTATTAAGTTAAAAACATTTGATTTTAATGACACTTAAAATTAAACACAATATTATAGGTATACTAACTAAAAATTGAAAAAACAACAATAAATAATAAAAAATAATTATAAAAAATTGAAAAAATCATAAAATTCTTAAAAAATTGCAAAATAACCCTTTTCGAGTTAAAATTGCAAAATAACACTTTTTCGGGTTAAAATTGAAAAAAGATGTTACATAAAAATAGTTTGTAAGATTTTCTAACAGCATATATGCAAAGTATTTTGATTTATTTGAAAATAATTGAAAACAGATTTTTCAAGGACGGTGTCGAGGTCACGGGGTCGGTGTCGTTTTTCGAAATTTGTTAACTTAATATAATAGAAGATGTTTCGTTTTAAATTAAGAAATGTTAAAATTATTAAGTTAAAAACATTTGATTTTAATGACACTTAAAATTAAACACAATATTATAGGTTACTAACTAAAAATTGAAAAAACAACAATAAATAATAAAAAATAATTATAAAAAATTGAAAAAATCAAAAAATTCTTAAAAAATTGCAAAATAACCCTTTTTCGGGTTAAAATTGAAAAAAGATGTTACATAAAAATAGTTTGTAAGATTTTCTAACAGCATATATGCAAAGTATTTTGATTTATTTGAAAATAATTGAAAACAGATTTTTCAAGGACGGTGTCGAGGTCACGGGGTCGGTGTCGTTTTTCGAAATTTGTTAACTTAATATAATAGAAGATGTTTCGTTTTAAATTAAGAAATGTTAAAATTATTAAGTTAAAAACATTTGATTTTAATGACACTTAAAATTAAACACAATATTATAGGTTACTAACTAAAAATTGAAAAAACAACAATAAATAATAAAAAATAATTATAAAAAATTGAAAAAATCAAAAAATTCTTAAAAAATTGCAAAATAACCCTTTTTCGGGTTAAAATTGAAAAATAACTCTTTTTCGGGTTAAAATTGAAAAAAGATGTTACATAAAAATAGTTTGTAAGATTTTCTAACAGCATATAAGCAAAGTATTTTGATTTATTTGAAAATAATTGAAAACAGATTTTTCAAGGACGGTGTCGAGGTCACGGGGTCGGTGTCGTTTTTCGAAATTTGTTAACTTAATATAATAGAAGATGTTTCGTTTTAAATTAAGAAATGTTAAAATTATTAAGTTAAAAACATTTGATTTTAATGACACTTAAAATTAAACACAATATTATAGGTTACTAACTAAAAATTGAAAAAACAACAATAAATAATAAAAAATAATTATAAAAAATTGAAAAAATCAAAAAATTCTTAAAAAATTGCAAAATAACCCTTTTTCAGGTTAAAATTGAAAAAAGATGTTACATAAAAATAGTTTGTAAGATTTTCTAACAGCATATATGCAAAGTATTTTGATTTATTTGAAAATAATTGAAAACAGATTTTTCAAGAACGGTGTCGAGGTCACGGGGTCGGTGTCGTTTTTCGAAATTTGTTAACTTAATATAATAGAAGATGTTTCGTTTTAAATTAAGAAATGTTAAAATTATTAAGTTAAAAACATTTGATTTTAATGACACTTAAAATTAAACACAATATTATAGGTTACTAACTAAAAATTGAAAAAACAACAATAAATAATAAAAAATAATTATAAAAAATTGAAAAAATCAAAAAATTCTTAAAAAATTGCAAAATAACCCTTTATCGGGTTAAAATTAAAAAAAGATGTTACATAAAAATAGTTTGTAAGATTTTCTAACAGCATATAAGCAAAGTATTTTGATTTATTTGAAAATAATTGAAAACAGATTTTTCAAGGACGGTGTCGAGGTCACGGGGTCGGTGTCGTTTTTCGAAATTTGTTAACTTAATATAATAGAAGATGTTTCGTTTTAAATTAAGAAATGTTAAAATTATTAAGTTAAAAACATTTGATTTTAATGACACTTAAAATTAAACACAATATTATAGGTTACTAACTAAAAATTGAAAAAACAACAATAAATAATAAAAAATAATTATAAAAAATTGAAAAAATCAAAAAATTCTTAAAAAATTGCAAAATAACCCTTTTTCGGGTTAAAATTGAAAAAAGATGTTACATAAAAATAGTTTGTAAGATTTTCTAACAGCATATAAGCAAAGTATTTTGATTTATTTGAAAATAATTGAAAACAGATTTTTCAAGGACGGTGTCGAGGTCACGGGGTCGGTGTCGTTTTTCGAAATTTGTTAACTTAATATAATAGAAGATGTTTCGTTTTAAATTAAGAAATGTTAAAATTATTAAGTTAAAAACATTTGATTTTAATGACACTTAAAATTAAACACAATATTATAGGTTACTAACTAAAAATTGAAAAAACAACAATAAATAATAAAAAATAATTATAAAAAATTGAAAAAATCAAAAAATTCTTAAAAAATTGCAAAATAACCCTTTTTCGGGTTAAAATTGAAAAATAACTCTTTTTCGGGTTAAAATTGAAAAAAGATGTTACATAAAAATAGTTTGTAAGATTTTCTAACAGCATATAAGCAAAGTATTTTGATTTATTTGAAAATAATTGAAAACAGATTTTTCAAGGACGGTGTCGAGGTCACGGGGTCGGTGTCGTTTTTCGAAATTTGTTAACTTAATATAATAGAAGATGTTTCGTTTTAAATTAAGAAATGTTAAAATTATTAAGTTAAAAACATTTGATTTTAAGGACACTTAAAATTAAACACAATATTATAGGTTACTAACTAAAAATTGAAAAAACAACAATAAATAATAAAAAATAATTATAAAAAATTGAAAAAATCAAAAAATTCTTAAAAAATTGCAAAATAACCCTTTTTCGGGTTA